GTCCTGGTGCCTGCCCCCCTCTACAAGGGGGCTCCAGAGGCTCCATCCATCAGGAGCTTCATGTCCTGCCCATGACCTGCCTCAGCTCAGCCCTTAGATGGGACTTCCTGGGTCAGGCTTACAAGCTGGGAGACAGTGACAAAGAGGGGGCTGGGTCCTCTCACTTTGAGACAGGCCGCAAAATCCTTCTAATAAATTACCTTTCTGGCACTTAAAATGTTTGATCGGTTTCTGTTGTTTGCAAACAAAGAACCCAGCCGATATAAGCACCCACTCTGTGCCAGGCACTATTCCAAGAATTTCATTTGACCCTCGTAACGATTTATAGGAACTATAATTGACCCCATTATGGTCAATTGAGAAGACTGAAGCCTAGAGAGATTGATTACCTTGGCCAAGGTCACACAGCTAGTTAGTAGCAGAGCCAGAATTCAAACCCAAGCCACAGAAACTCAGCTCTACTCAACACTAAGCACGTTATGAGCATTGCCTTCTTTAAGATCATTAGCCCAGTTTCACAGCTGAGAAAAGTCACAGAGCGAATGGAGCCCAGATTCGCCTGTGGGTTCTGGGAGGAGCTCGGAGGGAGCCTGGAGCTGGTGAGTTCGACCCATGAGGTCACAATGTGGCCCTCCCGGGACAGGGCCAGTACAGGACCCCAGGCCAGAGGGCAGGGCAGAGACAGCATGGGCTGTGGCTGCTAGTGGTGACCAGTCCTGCCATGGGAAACAACGGTTCCCACAAGAGGACCAAAGCACCCAAGCAGGCCCACAAGGAGAAGTCCCGGCAGAAACAGTTCTTCAGCCACCTCAAGCAGAAGAAGCCAAGTGTGAGTGCTGGGGGACCAGGGGCTGGGGGACAGGGGGACCCGGACAGGTGGACAGGAAGGGATGCTGGGAGTGTAGGCCTTGTACACAGAAGTCCTAGGGGCATGTGAGTTAGACAATCCCTCCCAAGGATGAGGGTCCCAGGAGTCCACATGGTGTGGATGGGGGTCCTAAAAGCCTGGAAGGGAGGGCAGGAGGGGATTCTCCCAACTCTGGACAAATTATTGTAGATCCTGGCACAGGGAATCAGCCCTAGTTGGTACCACCGGGGCTATGGGCACGGGGAATTCCCTTATGCCCTCTCTTCAGCCCCCAGCCTCAAAACATGCTACTTTTCCTACTCTCCAAATGGGCAGAGGCCCTGGACTAGGCCGGGGTGGGTGAGGACCCCTGGCATCAAGGCTGGGAGGATAAGCAGGCATCCCATGAATGTGGACAGAGCTGGCTCTCAGGAGGTCAGCCTGGTGTGGGTGAGGGATTCCAGATGGGAGGTGGGGGTCCTAGGCAGGCAGAATGGGTGAGGGTCCCCGGTGTCAAGCACGGAATGGTTCGCTCCCCCGGGGCCTAAATGGAACAGTGGGGTCTCCCCAACTCCTGTGCATAGGAGGATGACAGGAGTCCCGGAAACATAGAGGGGTAGAGTCCTAGGAGATAGCACCCGGTGGGTGAGCGTCCCCAGGAGGCGGGCAGAGCGGTCCTGGGTCGTGGGCTCGGCCCGGGGCGCGCTCTTTCCCCTCACGCCCCTGCCCCACCCCCAGACCAAGATCTTGTTGCTTTCCTGCCTGGACAAGCGGCAGCAGCTGGACAAGCGGCAGCAGCTGGACTAGGCGGCGGCGGGCCCCGGCGCGCGGTCCGGGCGGCCGGGTGAGGACGCTTCGGGCAACAGGGTGGGCTCCCCGGCGGCGGCGCCCATGCTGCGAGGAGCGGGAGACGGCGACG